CGAACGACTGAAACGCCAGGGCATGTTTTAAAAATAGCAAAGTTGAAACGGCGAGTGGCCAAAGTACTTGAGAACCTAGCCGAAAGAAGTTACACTGCAAAATTCTATGAGAAAATGCGAATACTTACAGCAGGTTTCAAGATCGAGGCATATTCATGTAGAATACAAAGACGGGTGATCTGTTGGCCAGTGCCATAGTACACTGTATCAATCTCGATCTCGTCAACAAACTGCTTGAATCCTATCGGTGTGTCCACAGATGTGATATTTTGGCAAAACATATATCCCTGCATTTACTTATTGTGGGCAACGCCATCAAGAAGAGGAACGAAAAACGAAAATGGCTTAATCAACTCAGCTCTTCGTTCTGAACATTTCGGTATAACTTTTCAACTGCATCTTCTAGACCAAAGGTTATAATTATTTTAGCCTCGTTCAGACGTTAAATCGGTGCAAACTACATTATGGAAAGCTCCGTATATCTAGAGCGTATATCTAGAGCGGTACTTGATGATGCTGAAGAACGTTCTCTTCAAACACAAAATAATAGGAAAATAAATCAAAGAACTGCGATGACAATCAAATAAAATGTCATTCAAATGAAATTTTCATCATCCAACATTTTGCGGCAATCCAAATGAACTTTGCATGGTAATCTCTTCTTTGACGCTTACGAGATTATATCCGAATTGGCATAAGCGCGTCATACGTTTCTTCTTTTAACTATTAACCGCCAATTGGAGACACCAACTGAAGCCAAGTCTCATTCCACTTTATCCTTCCAACGGAATAGAGATCTTCCCCTCACCGCACCGTCGAAAACTTTCAAAGCTGCAGAGTTTTCATCCATCGGTATGACATAATCCAGCCAGTGTAGCAACTGTCTCTCATTCGCTGTGTTAAATTACTGGCATTGCGAACTAACACTCGGAAGACTAGGATTCGAGTCCCGCTTCGAGCAACATCCAACCTTCATTCGGAATGAGAAGCTCCCCGAGTGTATTTCTGGCATGAAGTAAAAAGCTACTCATAAGAATTCATCGACAGTTCGCAGGCGACTTATTGTTGTTGGTAAAACGTCAAGACACACCCCATTATTGGGAGGAGGAAAATTGATTCAATGGCTACAATGCGCCAATTACATATACATATGTATATATAAGATCTTAATGTGACCGTATATCTACGACCATATATCTTTCACAAAATCTCTCTCTCTTTCTCTCTCTCGAAGGCTCCTAAAGCCGACTCATCGGAGGTATTGTAGATGGACGGGAATGCTACGAGTTAAGAAGCAGAAAGAGAGTACTTGACTTGAAGGACTGCGTTCAGCACCACTTACAAGAACTGCTGGAAAGTATGACTTACCTACGGGCATAAAGCATCCGTTAACATCTTCCTGAACACTCTTCTAGTGAAGAACTCGAGCTACCTCGAGAGTCACAACTAAGATCTGGGTATTGTAGTTGACTAAACTCTTACCTATCTACAGTTGACCTCTATATTCCCCCCCTATGTCCTACATGTAATGACTACCGTGCGACACTAATCACCTCTTTGCACGCCTCCTAAAACCAACTCTTCTAATCCCCTTTTCTTTTGATCCAAGCACGTCGAAACAATTCGTTTTCTGGACCTCTCGTTAGATAAGGTGATTTAGAAAGACGCCGGAATGATTGCCAATTGTTAGAATAGAGTTTTTGTTCGGCGTCGACTGCAAAATTCTGTCTGTTAACAGTGACGCAGCAGTCGTGCTGCGAAGGCGCTGACCATTTGTTCGACGACAAGTTATCTCTTTCGGCTTGTGCTCATTCACTACCAAACCAATTTTTCTACAATTTTAATAAATGAAAAATTTCTTGCGAATGAAAGATTGGCTATTTCAGCAGTGGTTTGTTGCCTTTTCATCTTTTTTTTTGGAGGTTGCAATATTAAAACGAAGCAGCAGCTGCTTGCTTTCACACATCTTATTTTTTGTTTTTTTTTTATTTGTTTTATTTTTTTTAAACTCTTTTTAGTTCTTTCGAAATTCTTTTGCACTTGTAATGAAATGGAATTTCCTATTCACACATAACATGACGTTTTGTAGTTCTTGCAACATGCGGCAGGCACGCAAGCGGGCAAACACATGTTAGGTCAATAGAAATATGCCTGCCACCGAGGCATAGCGTACGGAAATAGAATATAATTTCAATTATCCAGTAGTTACACATTTTTTCACGCATACTTATATGTGTTTGCGTGCATGCGGCGCTAAAAAAAATAATAACAAAGAAAATGAGTTGAACTGAGTTGAGTTGAGCTGAGTTGAGTAACTCTTAAATGGGCCATAATGATTATTAAATAATGTTGTGTGAAATATTATTGAGATGAAGCTCATATACATTTGTATACATATGAGTCGCTGCGAAGAAGTGCTGCGTGTCATTGAGAAAATTACTAGTTGTTAACTAGAAGCCTACTGGTTTGCATTCTTCTATTTCCCCTTGTAAGCAACTGGTCTTTTTAATACGACGATGGTCAATGGACAGTCAATTGTCCGTCTATGCATCAGTTTCATACTAGTAAAATACCAGTTAATTTAGGAATGTTGAATTTGTACTTCACTCGGCGTACTAGGTTTTCGAGACGACGTAGCGAGCAACGTTGGTTTGCGCACTTCTAGAGAGCGTCACAGACAGATAGAACTTAGGCGGAGGGAGTCAGTAAAATTATTATTATTTTTGCCCGTTATCGGTGAACTTCCATACAAGTAAACAATTGATATGATTTCATTTTCAAAACACTATCATTTAATTCGAATTTTCGCAAATTAATCTACCTGCTCCCTGCAGGGAATATGGGTACCCCACGCAATTAAATATGTACGTACAAAAATAATGTGGGAACTAGCAACCACTCAGTTGTTTAGTCGTTGACTTCTGCACCCGCCACCCCGACGACTGTTGCATTGAATAATTGCAATAAGTTTACAAATAATTGACTGCGCCGGTTATCGATAATAATCACAATGAATATTTTATACATACATATACTCGTGGATGTACATATTAGCGCTTTGTAACCGCTGAAATAGTTTTCGGCCAAGCTCCTCCGTCAATTTGTTTCAACAAATGAAGATAGCTTAATTTTATTCTAAGTCCAAATGGTCAAAGGATTTTTATGAGGACCTTTTTATTTCATGTCGGAAATGCACTCGGAGGGCTTGAAGTTCTCTGCCGAGGGGCGTCCGCAATTAGTGGTTTGCGGTGATTATCATAAATCTTTCGATTTTCAACAAGTAAGGAAGCCTAAGTTCGGTCGAAACCGAGCATTCGATCCTTTGCTGATGTTTATATTGCAGATCATGCGACTTATTCGACTATCACAAAGGGACTAAAGCTGAGTTAAATTGGGAATACTTTTTAATGTTACTCGAGATATAGGTATAGGTAAGACCGGATAGACTATCATACTGCTGTCTTTAGGTTAAACATTTTGGTAGTCATGGTCCATTTCTCCTATTACTTATTTCAATTTCAGTCTAATAACCTTTTTATAAGCAAAATATTTGTTCTAGCATTTGGCTGCTTTTTGCACTAAATAGAAAAAAAACTCAAAAATGTATAATTACAATATTAATGGAATGAATTACAATAATAATAGAATGTGTTCTTCGAGAGAAACGCTTTGCGAACGAATTACGTTTTTTTGCGCATTGGCAACGGCGAATACTACAGACGATGGAACGATACGGTGACATTGACTTAACTCACCGAATGATGCGACAACAGTTACGCCGGCTTGGGCATTTCGTCCAAATGGATCAAAGTTCTCCGGATTTGAATATAATTGCCGTAGTATCCGTACAGAGGAAGATTTTGGCCTTCACTCCCTTGAAAGGATCCGGTTGAGAGAGACTGCGTTTCTTTTGGCATTCCCCAAAGCGGCCAAGTAGCTAAGGAAAGACCGAATGATGCGGAATTATCGATTCGACTATAATCACGTGTTTTTGTCAACGCAGAACCGACATGAAGACTAAGATTATATTCTATTAAGCTGAATACGAGAAAATCGTGATATTTATGGCAATGTCGTAAATGAAATCAACTATAATTCAGGATCTTCAACAACTATTTCGTTCTGGTAGCACTCACGAGTGATTAATTAATTTTTTTTTCTAACTAGCTCTAGTTTTGTAAGTTTTCAACATTGGTTAGTTGATTGAAAGAAGAGGGTTTGCAAGCGATCCCGCACCTAAGCCACTAAACGGGCTCATTATGCTCCTACCATGCGCTGTCACCTCCATGATGTTGGAGCGGGGAGCATCGAGAAAAATATGACGCCTCAATCGGCTAAAGGACCCACACTCGAAAAAGCAGAGCCCTAGCGTTTTGTTATCCAGTGCGGGTGAGTTACAGGCAGGTGATTCCACTTAACCTAGCTTATGGAGATCAGATCTAAAGGATTATTACATTTATAAGAATGCTAACTTTTTGCTAAATGCAAGTAACAGTTTAGTCTGCCTACTATACACGTTTTCCCACAATAAATTATTGGGACGTGCCACGTTGGAAGAGTTCTAAGACCTTAAGTATTCATCTATGGACCACTGGTTTAAACAACATTTGAAGGAGCCAAAGGGTCTGAGTCAATCGATGGTGACAGTATCGTTAGCTGTGTCAGCTCGGTTGCTCTTTCAGTGCCCTTTACATCCGTGTGACCGGGTGATATTCACTGTAATTTTCCATCGATACTCTGTTTTTGCCTGCTTTAATTGCCTAATAGAAACCAGATAATTTTACCATGAAAGCGATTGCCCATGTGGCCACCCGCCTTCAGTAATACCCACAATCCCTGCAAGGAATACAACATTCCCACTCAAATGTAGCCCCAAACAAAAGACGACGCCATCACAAAAAGATCTCTTTTGAAACTCAGTTATTTCAATTAAATATGACGTGGATATGTATATATGTATTATCAATATTTTTTATATAATTTCATGCATCTTCACTCACCTGCCAGTAGTACACTATTATTATTTTTATTGTCATGATCAACTGGAATGGATGAGACGCGTTCACAGCGTAGGCACGCCACTGTTGTGCCGGGTCGGCCATTTTTGCCCGAAGCCGTCAGTTCGACGGTCATGTCCATGGACTTTTGCAGCACTGCGTCCATGCGTATAATGCCCTCGGCGAGGGTTTTATAACCCAAAATGGTGCGTGATTTGTATTTTTTGCGACGTTGCAACAATATAACCAGTCTGTGTGCATTTGAGCGTGAGAAGGGAGAGAAGGGTAAATTGTAGCCAATACGATTGCTGTTATATTTTTTATGATTTTTTATGTAATTATTATATTTTATTGTATAATTTTCATTAAAAAAAAAATTCATAAAATAAAAAAGTAAAAAAAAAAAATTGCCAAAAGCATGCAAAGCATCAATAACGGTAATCGTTTTTCGTATTTTATTTTCATTTTTTTGTGGATTTTATGTGATCGGAATGAGAAGAGTGGACGTTAGGTAGTTGTGTTTTTGAGAAGTGTTGTTAGTTTTATTATGTGATTGCAGTTTGTTGGAGTTTTTATAATTATAAGTTTTTTTTTTATTAGCGTGTTATTTATTATTCATTCAACACACATACACACACATGCACATATTAACGTAGTGATTTGCAGCATTATTTTATTATTTTCATTATGATTTTTTTTTTTTTTTTAAATTAATTCGCATATGTTGTTTTGTTGGTAATATTATTGTGTAGGAGTATTATTGTTGTTGCATGGTAGCATTGGAGGTTAGTTACATTTTGCCAGTGTTGTTGTAATTGTAAGTATTGCAAGCATTGAAAAGAAATGATGAAAGTAAAATTATTAAATCACGCACCATATTGCATAGCAAAAACAAATATTATTTCAACGAAATTGAAAACAATTACAAATTACAACAAAAACTTTAATTATAAATATTTTGCATTAAAAACAACATTTCACAAAGATAATCTTAATGCAAGCTCAGGAATTTTTCGCTTTTTTTTTCTTAAATAAAAACGTAGCAAACAGCATAAATTTATAATTATATTATTGCAGGTCTAGTAAAAAGTAATCCATTATTTTTACATTAAATTGTAGGCTTTCTTTACCCTATTGTTTGCACCGTGTTACTCGTTAATTCTTCGCCATTTTGAACGCAAAGTCTGTTTACCCCTCTCATGGAAACCCTTGATCCTATTAGCAAAAAATTATGATAATCACCAGCCAAATCATTCGCCATAGACAGGCACAGAGGATAAACACTTGTTGTGAAGTCCGAACTATATGGTGGACGCATACGAGCCTTCCAACAGAGCCCTCGGAGCTTCTGATGAGTTTCTATCGATGTGTGTGACTTACGCCTGAAGAACGTTTACAAATCGTACCACTTTATTAAGAAATCCACGTTGAAGATTGTGTTTTGCGCGCTCCGCTCAGCTTATGGTCAACCTAATCGGCCTACTGAACGTACTATTCGCGACACCATCACCCATATTGGGATCCAGCATTCTTTATTGGATAATGTTCGATCGGATAGACCACGTCCAGCACGCAGTGAAGAAAATATAGCGGCCGCGAATGAGAGGGTACATGAAGACCGTGGGGAATCGATATGGCGCCATGCGCAGACACACGAACTGATGTATGGAACGATTTGCGTATTTTACGGTACATCGTTTCGCTCTATGGGCTTGAAAAGTTTTTGTGACAAATTTTGTTCACCCATTTCTGGGATATAAACAAGCAAAATTGCCGCAGTTGGGACGAAAAGCAGCCTGAAGAAATTCAAAAGCTGCCAGAAAAAAACAACGGTTTGGTGTGGTTTGTGGGCCGTTGGAATCATCGGTCCCATATATCTTCAAAAATGATGACGGTGAGAACGTTATCGTCAAAGGCGGCTGTTATCGCGCCATGATAACCGACTATTTGATGCCTGAAATTGAAGCTCGTGATCTCGGCGAAATTTGATTTTAACAAAACTTCTCACATATCCCATCCATCAATGTATTTATGGAGAGAACACTTCGGTTGACCACCTAAATCGTGTGATATCACGCCGTTTGACTTTTTTCTGTGGGAATATGTAAAGTCTAAAGTCTGTGCGGACAATCCCGCTTCGATTTGGGACTTGGAGCAAAGCTTCGCTCGTGTCATTCGCCTCTCGAAATGCTCGAAGGACTCATCGAAAATGGGACTCAACGCATGGCTGAGACGTAGGCGTTCAATTATATTGTGGGCTAGACAGTTAGATCCGACCGAGAGTTTAGCGAAGTAAACACAATTAAAATTTTTCTTTTGTATGAATGCAGTTTAAGCCACAGGAAATGAGAAATAAAAATCATTTCACCGGAGAGTCTTGGGTCGCACTGTTTGCATTCAAAACTTACGGATATTACCTCACTAGAGTCAGAGTCAAAGGCGGATAGTTAGATAGGTAAAAGCCGTAATTCAGTATTTCTTATTTTTTCTACATTCAGTTTGAATTCCTAAAACATAAACATTTTTTATTAAAAAAATAGATCGTGCGAAATAAGATTAGAACAAAAGACTGAAATAAGCCATCCACGGTTGGAACATGCAAAGAATCCATGTTGGACTGTGCGGAGGGTCCATATTTGTAATCCATACAGTCTTTTCAGTCCCTTCATTCATCTCTATCCATTTCGCCAGTATTCATTGCGGATCTCTGATCAATACTTTCTCTCAACAATCCGTAGGAAACCCGAAATCATAGTAAATAGATAATTTTTCGATTACAAAGTAATTTCTAAAGCGTTGACTTCAAGGTAACAAGCATTATTTTTAACTATAACCATAACCAAATAAAGCTATGTCGAGCAGCTTAACAAAATCTAGCTATTAAACATAAAATAAATATTCCAATTAGTTCGTTATACATACCTATTGCCATCGCGCTTAATAAAATGTGGATACTGCAGGCTGAAATGTAAATCTAGTTCAGTCTCAGCCAGTGTCATCGTTGCAGGCGTACCGCCAAAGCCGCCCACTGTCATGGACGCACTACCGCCACTTCCGCCGCCAATACCAATGCCCGTATTTCCAATATTTCCGGGCGTACCAATTATGGCCGAACTCATTTGTGCGCCACCACCACCGCCGCCGATAAGCGTTGCTCCGGTATTGTTTTGTTGCATGATGTTGCCACCAGCGCCGCTGCCACTACCGCTGACGCCAGCATTACTGGAAGCGTTCGAGCCGGTTACTGCACCACCATATGTGCTACATTGTGTGAAACTGCTACTATTTATGGGTATCTCGTGTGAACGTAATGTCCGTTTTGAGCTCTGCATCTTGACGGCCAACGTTAGTGACGTCATATCGCCTGGTAATGGCGTCAATATGGATAGGCGTGTTATTGTCAATGAGCACAATCTGTAAATGAGACAAAGAAAAAGCGAGAGAAAAATTGAGGAATATTGTTATTAATAAATTTATTTTGTCGCATTAAACGTTGGTTTGAAGGTTTTAAAGGGGTATTCAACTTTTTCTTTTTGCATTGAATTTAAAAATTCAATTGTTCTCTTTTAACTAATTCAATTTAATTTTATTTTATTTTACTTTTTATTTTACTTTACTTTTTATTTTATATTATTTTATTTTATTTTATTTTATTTTATTTTATTTTATTTTATTTTATTTTATTTTATTTTATTTTATTTTATTTTATTTTATTTTATTTTATTTTATTTTATTTTATTTTATTTTATTTTATTTTATTTTATTTTAAATTATTTTTAATTTATTTAATTTTATTTTAAAATATTTTAAATTTGATTTAATTTTATTTTAAAGTATTTTTAAAGTGATTTCATATTATATTATATAATAATATTATTTATATCTATAAATTTATTATAGTTTTTAAATAATGCATTCCGTTCCTTAATCTCTGAATATGGTTGAGAAAAAAAGAGTATGTCAGACTTAGTGGCAATGCAAACAATTGTATAATCTCACACATACTTATATCAAGCTTTATTTATTGAACATAATTAAGATATATTCGAACAAACAACAATTGTCCACAGGCCACAAGTGAACTGCATTAATCTGTTGTGTACGCTAGGTCTTTTCATTGATTTCAGTAAATCGTCCAGAGAAGCGAAAGCAAGTAAATAAGAGGAAAACTAAATGAATTATTTATGTGATATTGTACAAGGACAACGAAAGCAACTGCCGGAAGTAAAGAAGCTTAAGATATAATCAAGCGTGACAAAAGGCATCGCAGGCATAGATTAAAAGAACTAAGAAGGGGAAATTAAAAATGAGAAAGGATTTACCATGATTGAGAATGGCAGATAACAGATGTTGACGACAAAAACCGATTCAACGCGTTTCAATGCCGCATTCGAACTAAGCAATGGATTTAAATCTTTTATTATTTTCAAATGAATAGGAATATTCATTTTTCGTTTTTTTTTTTTTGTTAACATGAATAGTTCTTGATCGCAATATCACACACTCACTATTCTTGGTCATATAGAGTAGGCCATCTATCGTTTGCTTTTAGAACTACGCATTACTGATAGGGATTTATCGAATAATCAGTACAAGGGTTGGGGTGTTTGAAATGCCGTTCCATCATTCCCTCATATCGGTTGGCCAATCAGTGCCCTTAGGAAGCAGGAGTGTAAGTATGCTCCGTTTACTACTTTTTTACGACGAATTTTCCTTGGATCCGTTGATAGGCGATTAGGATACAGCCGCCTCCGAACTCTGATGGATTTTTATGAGGAGGTGATGAGGAGATATATCCCAACTATAAGATAGCGAAGAGGCGGCCACGGTAGCCGAGTGGTTAGCATTGCATACTGCCATTTGGAAAGCTCAAGTTCAAATCCTGGTATTTAAATAAAAAAGTTAAGGTAAATTTTCTAATTGCAGTCGTTCCTTGCCAGATAATGACAAGCAATTCCGGTGTATTTCCGATATGAAATCAAAAACTCCTCATGAATCCGCATAAACTCTTTGATGGCAAAACACCAAGATGTACATCGTACACTCGTGGAGGAACTCGGCCGAAAATCGCTTCAGCGGTTAAAAAGTGCCATTTATATTAAAAAGTAAGTAGTAAAAAGTAGTGCATTATTTTTCCCAATAGATGACGGTATTTATCTGTATTTCACGTTGTATAAGTCCGATCGGGTTCCGCTAGATGGCGTCAGAAAGATGAAATTTTAAATCAAGCGTGACAAAAGGTATTTTGACAGTTCTGTGATTAGTTGACAAATTCGGCTTCATTCCGGTAATTTTGATGTAAAAGATGGTTCACGGAGTGAAAGAGCAATTGTCGAAAATGTCGATAAGATCATGGGCATTGTCGAGTCCGACAATGTCATGTAAACATTGTTTCGATGGCGCAAGAGCTAAAGATTGCACAAAAAACAGTATGGAACTATTTGAATAAGTCTGGATGCTAAAAGTAGCGCGAAGTACTGGAGCCAGATGAGTTAAGCAGTGAAAACCTCACGGGTCGAATTTCCATCAGCGAATCGCTGCTGAATCGCATCAAAGTCGGTCCTATTCTGAAGCGGTTGGTGACTGGCGATTAAAAGTGAATCGCTTACGGCAACGGGCGTGGTGGCCAAGCCAATGGATTGACAGCCAGAAAGGCTTTACTGTGTGTTTTGTGAGGTTTGTAGGGAATTATCTACTACGAGCTGCTGTCGTTTTTGCCTATAGGAACGAGGTCTGCTATGAGAGAGGCATAATGAAATTACCTTTTCCTTCAAAAAGAGTTTACGATAATTTTCCGATTTTTTTACAACCAAATTAAAGTATTTTTCATTGCTGCAATCATTTCGATTTCTAATCAAGTGGGAATGGTATAATTAAAAATTGTAATTAAAATCTCATGATGCGGAAAAAACGGTATTAGCCAAGACAAAATAAATTAAAAATATAAGCACCTGTATGTATGTATGTCTGCATATATTTATGATCATTATTGTAATTGAAAAATTTCATGGACTCAGTATGAGTCGCAGTTCAAATCATGAAATATTTCTATTAAAAAATGTATTTCGATTTTTTTTCTATTACGTGTGCACTTGCGCACGTACATATATAACGGTCTATTTATCACAAGTCATACATTACAATAAAACATTATTATAAAACTAGAAAAAAAGAGCAAAAAGCAAAACGCAAAAAAAAAATTAAAAAATTATATTAGATGCGATAATGCGATTTCTTCTACAGCTTCAATTGCCATGTCATGAAAGTGAAACTTCGAGCAGCCACAACTTGAAGCGACAGCAGGGGCGGCGGTAATTTGCCATCAGCAAGTTGTTCAGTTGCCATTGGTTGTTTGGTCAATTTGCAAAATGTGTGGCGAAATTTATGTGAAACCCATTGTAAATAGGTATGTATATATGTATGTGTGTGAGTACATATGCAGGGGAGATCGACGTCACTTTCATGAGCAAAGTAAAAAAAAAGGAGAGCAGAGTGCAAAATGGAATGCAATTCCGAGCAGCTGGTCAACTATGAGAGGTCGCACGATGTTGTGGACGTGCTTCCCAGTGCAAACAGAGGAATGTATGTACGAGTACATATATCAAAATATTTAAATTATAAAGTAGATGTCAGCATGTCTTTTACGCATTTTTCAACTATTATTACTAGTGATTACGCGAGACAAAAAAGAATTGTATAATTTAGCATACGTTAGGGTAGGCCGTCGTAATGAACAACGGACGCTGAATAAGATCTAATATAGGCAAGTAGAACATCCCTGATGGATGCATGTGTAGAAGTCCGCAAAAGTGTGGAACGTTTTATTGGTCTTAGACTTGATCTATCCTCTGGGTAGCCAACAAATATCCGTTTGGAAGCGTCGCCAAGGGGATGTCTGCATAGTTTGTTACCCACCACATAAAAAAATATACTCCAATATACTCTTAGTTGACGCCCCTTCCAAACGTATTAATTGAGAACATGCACCTGGAATATCCAGTCCCTTAATTAAGAAGGTTCCGCTGACCACATTGAAGTTGAAGTCTTCGTAAGACTAAAAGCTAAACCACGCTCCAACGGAAGAGAAAGTCGACGAGCCCAGGGATGCTTTCTTTGAGCACCTATGAACGCTTCCCCTACCACGATGTCCAAATTGTACTTGGCGTCGACTTCACCGAAGCGCGAAGTATGATTCCGCACAAGAAATTTCGTAAACACTGGAAGGAAGTCAAGTCATAATGCTCTAAATGTGCATGCGTTCCGAGCACCTAACATCGACTCGATTCCTTACCTGGTCACAGCGAAGCTACGTGCACCAAAGAGCCTCTGTCAACAAACACAAGGAAGGTTCGGCGTCGAAAAGAGGCAATCTCAACAGACAGCCGCACGGTTTTCCACTAGATTTGCACACATATTTTCTGAGAGCACTCAACAGCGACTTGATATTTATAGGAATTCCCTACGCACCGCCGTTACGGAAACAATTGGATTTCGATAGAGAGAATTATATTCATCTAACAAAACCGAATTTCCCCTACTTTTCAGTAGATAGTGTGTGGGGGTGGTTTTTTTTTTTTGACTGCTATTACTTGATTATTTGATTGATTCAGTTTGGTATTAGCATTTCACAATGAACAGACTTACTTCGGAAGAACGTTTACGAATCGTACAAACTTATTACAAATATGATGATTCGGTTCGCTCAAAAAGATCTTGGTTTGCGGGCCTATAAAATCCAACTCGTAAAATAATGGAAGCCGAAAAACCATCGACATCAAGCGACTCAACGTTCGGTAATTGAGTCCAAACTGCGATGACCAGCGAACGCGATTTATTCAGCGTCGGAACTCGCTTTTGGTTGAATAAGTATGTTAATAAACAAAATTGTCGCATTTGAAGTGATGATTATCCACATGCCATTGTTGAGACATGCTAAAGAAGTCCATGGTTTGGTGTGCTCTAAGAGCATATGGAATCTTTGCTCCATATTTCTTCGAAAATGAAGCTGGCCATAATATCAAAGCCAATGGGGAACCAGGGAGATATGCTTAATGAAATTTTCGTGCCTGAATTGGTGGATGTTGATGGGGACGGCCTTTGGTTCCAACAAGACGGCGCTACACGCTTGCAGCCAACGAAATAATCAATTTATTACAGAAAACTTTTGGTGTGTGCTTTATCTCGTATCGTGGACCTGTGGCGTGGCCTCCAAGATCATGCGATTTCATACCGCTGGAATATTTTTTGTGGGGTTTTGTGAAATCGATTCTCTACGCAGGTCAATCCGAAACGATTGACACCTTGGAAGAGAATTTTCGGCGCGTTTTGCTGCGCCAGCCGCGGTGGTCACTAACTCGAAATCATTTTTGCAATATAATGCCAAATCTTATCTATATATAATAATCAATCTTAAT